TTTTTTTTTTTTTTTTTTTTTTTTTTTTTTTTTTTTTTTTTGCAAGACAAGATGCATAAAGAGTTCCAAAGTCTTGACCATCTCTATATAATTCTTTAATATGCTCAAATCCAAGAATTTTTGCAATAAGAGAAGTAAAAAGATTGTACCTTCTAGATAATGCATCAGCTACTATGTAATCCTTACCTTACTTATATTTGATGACATACGAAAATGTTTCAATAAACTAAACCCACTTTACATGCCTATGATTTAGTATGCTTTGACCCTTAAGATACTTGAAGCTGGTCATCTCTATATAATTCTTTAATATGCTTAAATCCAAGAATTTTTGCACTAAGAGAAGTAAAAAGATTGTACCTTCTAGATAATGCATCAGCTACTACGTAATCCTTACCTTGCTTATATTTGATGACATACGAAAATATTTCAATAAACTAAACTCACTTTGCATGCCTATGATTCAGTATGCTTTGGCCTTTAAGATACTTGAAGTCTTCTTGATTAGAGTGGAATACAAATTCTCTAGGCCATAAGTAGTGTTGTCACACCTGCAATGTGTGAACTAAAACAAACAATTCTTTATCGTAGGTTGGATAGTTCAATGCTGCCCCATTTAGTTTTTCACTAAAATACATTAAGGGTTTTCCATCTTGCATCAAAACAACATCTATGCCCAAACCACTTGCACCACACTCAATTTGAAAAGTTTTATCAAAGGTAGGCAAGACAAGGGTGCATTGGTTAATTTCTTCTTAAGTTCATTGAATGCATTCTCTTGCCTCTTTTCATCTAAAAACAACATTCTTTTTCACTAAGTGATTCAGTGGTGAAACTATGGTTGCTAAAATCTTTTATAAATCTCCTATAGAAGCTAGTTAACCCATAAAAAATTATGAACTTCACTTCCATTATTTTTGTGTTGGTCAACCGTGATTGGTTTAACTTTCTCTTCATCTACTTCTACTTCATTTTTACCAACTATGAAACCAAGAAAGTTAACTTTTTCCATGCAAAAACTATCATTATTAAAATTAGCATAAAATTTCTCTTTTCTAATCAAAACTAGCTTAACATGCTCCACATGCTCATGCAAAGTTTTCGAATAAATTAAAAATATTATCAAAATACACAACAACATGTTTTCCCAAATATTCTCTCAAACAATGATTCATTAAGCGCATAAATGTATTTGGAGTATTAGTCAACCCAAAAGGCATAACAAGTCATTCATATAATCCAAACTTAGTTTTGAAAGTGGATGATATCCAGGTTTCTATTGGGGAAATGGATATTGAAAGAGATAAGAAAATATAAAATAGATCAAAGTTGCATTGCTCTATTATTGTTTTCTCACTCAATTGCTTAAAAAGTTACAAAATTTCAATATTTATACGCTTCTACGTTAACCAGAAATAGTAAATTATGGAAATTCTGTATAAATTCAAATCTACTACCAATCTCTTAAAATATTGTTACTCTCAATACTTTGAATCATATCTCAACTACTTTAAATCATATCTCAGTTTTGAATACTTGAATCATATCTCAACTACTTTGAATCATATCTCAACACTCCCTCTTGATTCAAAGTTGCAGATGTCAAGTAATCGTCTAAATTAGCCGAACTTTTCTTTTGACAAAACCTTAGTAAGTATGTCTGCTTTAACCTGTATAATGTCTGTCTCAACTTGTATATCTTTGTTTCTTTGTCCTTTATGAATCGCACTGGTTGTTTTACAAAGACCTCTTTTTTTAAATCTCCATCAAACTGATAAACAGGCCACCGCAATGGGCTGCATGTCCCATGTAAATCTCCATAGAACTTTTCATTTGTATCTTTTTCAACCATATCCCATTATACAGCTTTAACCTGTATAATGTCTGTCTCAACTTGTATACCTTTGTTTCTTTGTCCATTATGAATCGCACTGGTTGTCTTACAAAGACCTCTTTTTTTAAAATCTCCATCAAACTGATAAACAGGCCACCGCAATGGGCTGCATGTCCCATGTAAATCTCCATAGAACTTTTCATTTGGTAAGTCAACCATATCCCATGTTCCATCTTTCTCAATGGACTGCATCTCTTCTACCATGGCTTTCTTTCACTCTTCTTTTTGAGCTGCTTGTTCATAACTCATAGGGTCTGAAACAATAAGAGCAAATTGACATGATGCATATATGTTAGCAAATTCTTCAAGAGATGAGTTGCTATTTAGTGATGCTGAAGATGATGAATTTGACAGATTTTGTGTTGTAATGGAGGCACTAGGAGATGTACTGGAGTTGACCCTTGTCTCTTTATCTGGAGAAACTTCAACTGTAATATTTTTTGAATCATTATCTAATAGTTTTATCTTACCATGACTGGTTTCGACTTTTATTGTGCATTTTTTCTCAACTTGCATCTCTTTTGTATTTCCAAGTTTCACCTTAAATTCTTTGCGTCTCATCAAGCTTTTGGAATAAAGATTTGATGCCTGTCATATGGTTCGAGCATCCGCTATCAACAAACCATAAGTCACATTTTTTTGGATTAATATCAGTACACGCCATAAAAAGCTTTTCTTCTCCTTCTTCACTTTTTGCTGCAAAATTCATTTGTTGATCTTTATACCAATAATCAGCTTTTATATGTTTATACCTTCTACAATGTTAACATTGTATAACCTTCCTTATATTACTTTGTTCATTGAATTGCCTTTGTCCATCATTTTTCCATCTACCCCTGTTATCACGACCACCATGGAAGCTACAAAATTCTCCTCTTCCACGACTTTTACTTGCAAAATGAATATTTTCTCTTTCGTTGCCTTTGTTGTTGGCTGTCTCCTTCATTTGTAGTGTCTTTTTTTCTTTCCTTTCGGGTGATCTATTGATTCTTGACTCATGAGCTTGAAACTAGCCCATCAGTTCATCAACGGAGAGTATTGATAGATCCTTAGCTTCTTCTATGGCAGCCACCACATGGTCAAACTTTGGAGTTAAGCTTCTCAACACCTTTGCAACAGTTGTTTCGTCTGAAATTTTCTCTCCGTAGGTACGCATCTGATTGACTATTGCCATTACTCTTGACAAAAAGTCAACAATTTATTCGACATTCTGTTGAGAAATAAACTTAAATGCAGGAGAGAGAAAAAAATGATTATGATTTTTTGTTTGTTATTCGGTCAAAAAGACCCTTACAAAATTTGAGAGGGAAAAGGGCGGAGAGAAAAGGGAGGGCACAAAATTTGAGAGCCGGAAGAGGTTATGGGAGAGAGAAAAGTGAGGGAAGTTACAGCTAAACTTAGCCTTATAAAAACTATAAAAAAGGGGTCTTCTGTATCGTTGTAAGAGGGGCAGAGACAAAAAAAAAAAAAAACAAGAGAGAGAAGAAAAGCAGAAAGAAACTTATTCTCTGAGTTTTTGTCTAATAACCTTTTCAGAACTTCTTTGTCTCCTTGTCTCTCTCCCCTTTCGACACCCCTTTAAAGTTTCGTGAGAGTTATTTAAACGAGCTAGATTCAGAGCGAGCGTTTTGTTTCAAGGTTGGTATCGGAGTAGCTTTAATTTCAACAAATTGGTATTAGAGCGATTTTATTTTTCAACAAATTGGTATCAGAGCCGATGGCGAACATGATGGGACAAATGCCTCTACCATGATTGACGAAGACAAACTACAAGAATTGGAGCATCCAAATGAAAGCTCTTCTCGGTTCGCAAGACGCATGGGAGGTGGTCGAAGACGGTTTCGAAGAACCGATTGATACCACGGGTTACACAGTGACGCAAAACAAGGTGCTAAAGGAATTACGGTCAAAGGATAAGGCAGCATTATACATGCTGTTCCGGGCTGTTGACGAGTCGGATTTGAGAAGATTGCAAGGGCAACTACTTCAAAAGAAGCATGGGACACTCTAGAAATGGTGTTCAAAGGAACCGACTGAGTCAAGCAGGTGCGTCTCCAGACTCTATGTGGCGAGTTTGAGAGCATGAAGATGAAGGAGTCAGAAAATGTATCTGACTACATTACTCGTGTACAGATTGTGGCGAATCAATTAAATCAAAACAGAGAAATGTTACTCGAGACGCGGGTTGTGGAGAAAATTTTGAGGTCGTTAACAGACAATTTCAAGAATGTTGTGTGTGCCATAGAAGAATCGAAGGACCTAGCAAAGTTCACAGTCGATGAGCTTGTCGGTTCTCTCGAGGCACATGAGCAACGCAAGAAAAAAAAGGAGGAGCCACTCGATCAAGTGCTTCAGACGAAAGCAACAATAAAGGATGGAAAAGTTCTCTACTCACAAAATTTTCGAGGTAGAGATAACGGAAGCCGTAGGAATGGTCGAGGTGGTCAAGGCAATAATCACGAAAAAAACTACCAGGAGAAGAGACTATCGAGTCAAGCAAATTGGCGTGGAAGAGGACGTTTTCAAGGGCATGGTCAAGGATACACTTCCAACATCCAGTGCTTCAAATGTCAGAAATATGGCCACTATGCAAATAATTGTAACTCTGACAGATGTTACAATTGTGGCAGACTGGGTCACTATGCTAGAGATTGTCGAGCCAAAGAGAAGGTGGAAGAAACCATCAATCTAGCCTTGGATGACGCAACAAGTGGAGGCATCCTCTTGATGGCTCAAAGCGAAGAGCCGAACACAAAAAGAGGCGACGGGGCCAAAGATGATGGCGGTAGTCATGAGGTAGTGGAAGTTGTTAGAAATGAGGTGATACGCAGCATATTTGGCGAAATCGCGTTATCAGAGACGAGAAAATCGTAGAAGGATTAACAAGAGGATAATAGAGAGCCTGAGCTCAAAAAGAGAGAGCTCCAATGGCTGAAAAGGAAATTCGAGATGGAATGGAAAGAAAGGATGGCAAAAATGCAGATTGAACATAAGAAACAGATGGTTCAAATGCAAGCTACAATCCCTTCAAAATCCCTTGAAAATCCCAAAAAAATAACGAAGAAGCCCATGCGATCGGCGAACAAACCAAAAAAATTGTCGGATCATCAAGAGGAGAATAGAGATTCAGAGCAACAACCCAAATCTGTCATGGAGAAATCTGTGGAGAAGTCTCAGTTGCAGACGTTGAAATCGCTGAACGAGCACCTTTTGAAGGAGACACACGAGAAGAGAAAGGAGTTTGGAGCTCTGGTTTTTGGATGAACCTGGTAGGGTTTTTGAAGGGTTGGCGGCCCACTCAGATTCAAAATGAAGGAGAAAGATGTAGAGATGTTAACTCAACAGAGAGATTCAGTTGATGTGAATCTGAATCGAGTCCAACAGGAGGCAGTGAGTTTATGACGTAGGATTGAGACAATCACTCGTGATAAAGCTGAAATGAAGGAAGCAAAAATGGAAGTGGAAAATGTCGTTGTGGACTTACGAAGGGAATTGAGTAAAGTGAACAAGGCTATGACATCTGAGTCCAACGTGGCTGAGAACGGGAGAAATGAAGAGTTGGTGCCTCAGATGGGCTGTTCTCGAGAAGATCCAAATGAAGTCTCGTCAGAGAAGAACAACCCTATTTTGCCGCTCGAGGAAAAGGAGAAGAAGAGAAAACGAAAGCGGCGCAGGTGGAATCATTGAGTAGGAGCATTTAAGTTTATGGGTGAGTTTTGTTGAGAAATAAACTTAAATGGAGGAGAGAGAAGAAAAAAATGATTACGATTTTTTTGTTTATTATTTGGTCAAAAAGACCATTAGGAAATTTGAGAGAGAAGAGGGTTAAGAAATTTGAGAGAGAAAAGGGCTGAGAGAAAAGTGAGGGAAAGGGCTTATGGGAGGGAGAGAAGTGAGGAAAATTACCGCTAAACTTAGCCTTATAAAAACTATGAAAAGAGACCTTATGTATAGTTGTAAAAGGTGTAGAGAGAAAAAGAACAAGGGAGAGAAGAGGAGTAGAAAGCAATTTATTGTCTGAGTTTTTGTGTAATAACTTTTTGAGAACTTCTTTGTCTCCTTGTCTCTCCCCTCTCGACACCCCTTTAAAGTTTCGTGAGAGTTATTTAAACGAGCTAGATTCAGAGCGAGCGTTTTGTTTCGAGGTTGGTATCGGAGCGGCTTTAATTTCAACAAATTGGTATTAGAGTGATTTTATTTTTCAACACATTCGTCATGAGCAGATTTTCAAAATCAGGTCTTAGAGATTGCAATTTCACTGTTATGACCTTTGAATCTCCCTGAAACTTCTTCAGTAGAATTGACCATGCTTGCTTTGATGTGGTTTCTGCTAAAATTTATGAAAAAATAATCTCATGAATTTCTTGTTGAATAATGAACAGAGCGTTGACATCATTTTTCTTGGTTTCTCTTAGTCTCTCTTTTTCTTCTATTGTGGGTTCTAATACATCAACGAACCCGTGCTCCACCAAATCCCATAGCTCCTGCGATCTGAGCAAGGTCTTCATCTTGATGCTCCACCTCATATTCCCCATCATTAAAAATTGATAACAGCAGTGCAAAAGAAGAAAAACCAACTACTACCGTTTTTGTTTTGTAAAAAAATATAAACACTCACTCTCGTGTTGACAAGAACTTGGCTCTAACACCAAATTTGTTGGAGAAATGAATATTGAAAGAGATAGGAAAAGATAAAATAGATCAAAGCTGAATTGCTCTATTTTTGTTTTCTCGCTCTCAGACAAAATTAAGGAAGAAGTAGAAAAAAATATATCGGGTTTATTCAATCCATAAATATAAATAACTAAAAAAACGTAAGGAAGAAGTAGAAAAAAATATATCGGGTTTATTCAATCCATAAATATAAATAACTAAAAAAACGGAATCCCCCCTTTTTTTTTTATTTGTTCATAGAATTGCAACAAAATAACCCCATCGATGCCGGAATGTACTAATTTTTATTTATAGTATATTCTATAGAACCAATTAGTTCATTTAGTCACTTGATTGATCTTTTTTCTATTCATCTTAGATCAATTTCTATCACTAAAAAAAAAATATATATATTTTTGTCGTTATCGAAGACGGAATTTTAAGGTAATAAGTGTAGTATGAATAGAACAAGAGAGGGGGGAAATAATAAAGAAAAGGTTAGCCAAAGCTATATACAAGTTATCCACACCCTCTTTTTTTTTATTTCATTAATGGAATTTCGGTTATTGATTAAGGTGAAGTTCTGTAAAAACCCCTGCCTTCTTTAAAATATCATGAACAGTTCCTGTAGGTTGAGCACCCTTTTCAAGGAAATATAGAATAGCAGGAACAGAGTTACAAAATTCCAATATTTATACACTTCTACACTAACCATAAATGATAAATTATGGAAATCCAAGATAAATTCAAATCTACTAACAATCTCCTAAAATCTTGGTAGTTTGAATACTTTGAATCATATCTGAACTACTCTAAATCATACTCAGGTTTGAATACTTTGAATCATATCTCAACTACTTTTAATCATATCTCAACAATTTCAAATACATCTTTGTAAATAGACATGAACCATGCAATTCATCAAGCATATCTTCTAGCCTAGGTGTAGGATGTCAATACTTTACAGCGATTTTGTTGATGGCTCTACAATCCACGCACGTGTGCCAAGTTTTATCTTTCTTTGGCATCAATAAGACTGATACAGAACATGAACTCAAACTTTCTTGTAAATAGCCCTTCGCTATGAGCTTATCCACTTGCGTTTGAATTTCTTTAGTCGAAGTAATAAGCTAACTAATAGAGTCAATCCAACTGAGACTAAAGAAATTCAAACGCAAGTGGAGGAGCTCATGGGGAAGGGCTATATACGAGAAAGTTTGAGTCCATGTTCTATACGAGTCTTATTGGTGCCAAAGAAAGATGAAACTTGGCACATGTGCGTGGATTGCAGAGTCATCAACAAAATCACGGTAAAGTATCGACATCCTATCCTAGGCTAGACAATATGCTTAATGAATTGCATGGTTCATGTCTATTTGTAAAGCTTGTTTTGAAATTTAGAAATCATCAAATTAGAATGCATGTAGGAGATGAATGAAAAAAACCTTTCAAAATTAAGTTTGGATTATATGAATGGCTTGTTATGCCTTTTGAGTTAACTAATGCTTCTGGTACATTTTACGTGCTTAATATATAATGTTTTAAGAAAATATCTCAGAAAGCATGTTGTTGTGTATATTGATGATATTTTAATTTATTTTAAGACTTTGCTTGAGCATGTGAAGCATGTTAAGCAAGTTTTGATTACACATAAAAACGAAAAATTTCATTCTAATTTTCGTAAGTGTAGTTTTTGCATGGAAAAAGTTTACTTTCTTGGCTTCATAGTTGGTAAAAATAGAGTAGAAGTAGATAAAGAGAAATTCTTGGGTTCGAGTATTTGCCATTTGTAGAGTTTGCATATAATAGAGCAATTCATAGTACTACTCATTGTTCTCCCTTCGAAGTTGTTTATGGATTTAATCCACCTACGCTTCCTGATTGTTCTCCCTTTGAAGTTGTTTATAGATTTAATCCACTTACGCCTCCTGATTTTCCTTACTATTCCTTCTAATATTTTTGTGAGTGAAGCAGCTACAAGTAACACAAATTTAATCAAAACATTGCACAAAGAGGTGAAGGAGAGAATTGAGAAACAAAATTTCAAAGTTGTTTCAAGAATAACAAAGGACAAAAGGAAATCATTTTTCAACCCGGTGACTGGGTTTGGATATTTTTTTGCAAGGAGCAATTCTCATCTCAAAAGTAGACAGAGTTACATCTAAGAGGGGATGACCCCTATCAAGTTCTTAAAAGAATTAATGACAATGCATATAAAATTGACCTTCTTGGAGAATTTTCAGTACATTCTACTTTCAATGTTGCTGACTGAAGCAAATTAAGAGGTGTAAGTAGATTAAATCCATAAACAACTTCAAAAGGAGAACAAGGAGTGGTACAACGTCCCAAGACTTAATATTCTTAGAAATAATAGCCTTAAGCAATGCTCCAAATGTTCTATTAACCACCTCAGTTTGTCCATAAGTATGAGGATTGTTGGATCGATATGACAACCCTAGGGAGTGAATAGGATTTTAACAATGTAATTATTAATTTTTTTAATAACAATAAAACTTATACCATGCAATAAAACATAACAATAATTTAGAATTTAAATAGGAGAAGGGTTAGAAAATATAACACCCTAGTTTTATAGTGGTTTGGTCAAACTCGACCTACTCCACTCCCTAAGCACCTCTTGGAAATTTGAATAAAACTTTCTGACTCTTTCCTTGGATTAGAGCCGAACCGCTATACCGCTTCTTTTACGAGTGCAAGAGCAAACTCAATTCTTTCCACGGCTTAGGACCAAACCAGTACAAAACTCTTTTTACGAGTTCAAGAGCAAACTTAATTCTTTTCACGGTTCACGATCAAACTGGTACACTGCTCTTTTTACGAGTTCAAGAGCAAACTCAATCCTTTCCACAGCTCAGGATCAAACAGGTACAATTGTCTGAAATCTTATAGAAACACACCACAACTCTTTGAAGTAATAGATTTACAATTTTTTCATAATATAATAGACATCTCTCTCAAGAATAAGATAAAAAAGAAATAGAATTGGAAGCTTTAGAGAGAGCAACAATGAAGGATTTTTAAAAAAATTTAGATCGAGGAAACTATGAAACTTGTGTATTGTGAAATGTTCTGTATGTTGTGTTCTGAAAAATACGAAGAGATGATGAGTTTAAATAGCGATCAAGTTGTAAAAATAGGAATTGATACGGACAACTAAAACGTGAACCGAAACATGGACCACGAAAAATAAAATTTATTTA